ATGCCCATGACCAGAAAGACTATCTGGAAGAGCTCTCTGGACTACTGGTCCTGAGCGTTTTCTCCTGATCCAGGAAGGCTAGTGGCAGGATCGACGCTTTTCTTCATACTTCTCCACCAACTCTCCAGCTCATAGCACTTGTTGCATATTTTTTTGGTAAGAAGGCATTGAGGCATGTACGAAACCACTTCTCTCACCTGTCGTCCCGATGACCATCGACTTCCTCGAGTTGGCGCCAGTGACGTCTCCCTTCTTTTCAGTTCGAGTCAGAGTGATCCAGTGGATTGTCTTTGCTCGAGGGGCACGAGGCCCAGCATCCCCTTCGTTCACAGTTTCCGTCATTTGATCATCGCGTTGGTGGCTTTCTTGGGGTTCGTTTGACATCCGGAGGGACTCGATCAGTAGTCGCCCTAGATCATCATTATATGGCATTACAAGTCCGGTTCGCCTGATCTTCGAATTCCCCGCGTGAGCAACGGCATCCCTAATCGCAGATCGTTGACGAGAAGCTCACATCTGCACTCGCGTGCATAGAGAAATTTGAGAATCGAACTACATGCTCATCCTGCTTTCGTAGAGTCCAAGGCTCTGAGGCATATTTCAAAGCAGGAAGGATTGCAGTGTCAAAAAGGTGAGCGCCGAGCCGGATGTTCTTTGCCTTCTTCACTGCTTCCTCTATATTCCTGAATGCTCCCCCTTTCGGCGCATTCCTTCTGCACAGCTCCGCAGTGTGGTCGCTCATCGTATCGACTTCTTGACCCAGATATAAGTAGCTAAAGCATTCAGGGATATTCGTTCCATTTAGCTTGAAAGAAGCATCAGGAACCAATATGTTTCCCACAAACATGGCCTTTGTTAAGTTCAGTCATAGGCCGACCTTACCACGAGCGCTATCGAATTCGGCCAGCAATCGTTCCATCGGCGAGCAATCGCTTGACATTCGTTGTTTAAGGACGGTGACGTCTATAAAGCGGAGGTGATGTGAGCAGCGGCAGTCGGTTTCCACTCCATTTTTCCATTCCAAACGACGCATTATACTCTCAAGAGCGGCACTGGAAAGTTATGGCGGGGTGGTATCGACCTGCCTATCCTCTCTCCTCATGTTGACAATGCCTTCACTATAGAATGGCGAAATCCTAATCGTGGATCTTCCGTAGAGCACACAAAGCATCTTCATAATAAATTGAGCGGAAATATCTTGGTAATCCAGGGCCTTGGTTACTGCTTCTGTCCCGAAACGGTATCGAAAGCCTTCGAGCTGATGAAAAAAAAGACATAAGCACATCCTGTATCCTCGCGATATTTCAGTGAGTCTTGTAACAGTGTGGATGTGATTGACTACATCTTCTCCGAAACCCTATTTGCTCGCATGGCTAAGCTTCATTCAGTATTCTGCCCATCCCGTTGAGGATGATGAGTGTGAAAAGTTTGTAGATCACAGACATCAGGCATATGTGGTTGTAATTACCAATATCGCCCCTATTTCCCGACGACGTGGACATTTTGCCTTCCGACAGGACCGCGTAAAGAGCCTGGCTAGAGATATGACGACAACTGGTGAAAGACCCTTCTGATGTTCTAGTTTGATCCCATCGGGATCAGTAGATGTGGCTATCGCAGAGATTCGACCAGAAGTCGTAGAAACCTTCATACTTACCCATCAAGTTGCAGCAACTGTTCCGCCTGGACGACGAAGGGAACCAGCTTGCTTTTGTAACTGGAAAAGCCCGGCGCTCTTTACAAATGCCCTTTACGGCCTCAGAGGCCTCGTCCATGACTGCTGCTCATCTCCCATTCAAATCTTCCTTTAGCGCTTCTCTCTGCAATTGATGATAACCTTCCTGAGCGTTGCCGATCTTTGAGGGTGAATTCATCCTATTTAGTTATCGCAAACCACTCACGCACTATGCGTTCCTCTAGAGCACTGTCTACTTAAAAGTCGCAAATCTTTCTCACGGCTTGAGCCACGTACTTGCCTTTGTAGTAGAAGAAAAGCGTAAAGTGCCGAACATGCACGCGATGGCCTCAATTTTCTTACGAGCCTTATACAGAGGGGGAGGTGGTGTAGTGGCAAGTGGCGCACTATCCCACACGCATGGTCAGGGGTTCGAATCCCGGATCGATATCTGCCTATAGCTCAGACGGGATTGATTAACTCCAACAACTCTATCCTTTATCCTATACAGAAAGACTATGAGGAATGTTTACTGGGGTACAAGGAAAACCTTATCCTTTCGGAAAATATATAACTTCCTAAGGTTTTGAACACCCTGGGTTTACCAACTGTCTTCTCTTCAACCTTTGATAAATCCAGAGTGTTCAAAAACGGCGGAAACTTCCGGGCAACCCAATAAATTTATCAAGCACAGCAGAAAAGGAAGTCCATTCCCTGAATCCAATCAGTCACTCCCCACTTGGGGTCGTCATTCGTAGCTTCGTCAATAATCTGTCGGAGATCCTTCAGTCAGAGAGAACGTCCATTTGTCACCAACACGATAGAGATCCTTCAATGAGGGAGAATCCCGAGTGAAGGAGATCCGTAGCACGAAACAGTACTGGAAAATCGAGGCATGTTCCCTCAAATTTGCAGTAGACTAATCGCTCGAACAGTTTCATAGTGAGAGCAGACCTGCTCTCGCAGTCTTAACACACACAACGATCCCATTCCGCTCGAACATGGGAGCAATTGCTTTGCTTCTTACCGTATCCGGAATTCTTCCGAAAGTGGTCAGTGTTCAGAATCCGGGTCTCCCGAATCCGTGTTCTCCGAGCGCCTTTTATGCTTTGGGTGGTAACCCATCAAAAGCTATACTTTCATGAAATTCATCTGCCGTATAACTCGACGTCTCTTCATTTATGCTGTTGTGGGGCCAGCTTCATAGACTCTGTTTAGGAGAATTCTTTGCCTGGAAGAATGTCTAGCCAGGGAAGGGTTTCAACTTCCCATGGAACTTCGAATAGAGATCTAAGTATATCGATAGGGCTTAGAAGGTTATTGAGAAATAAGGGAATCAAAACTGCAAAACAACTCTACCAAAAAAGTTGTGCGCGTTTAAAGTTTGCATGCCTAAAGCATGGAGAGGTAGTGCCAGTTGATAAGCCCAGTTGCCCGCAATGGTCACAAGAGTCGCGTAGTGGCAGTGCTCTCCCTCTCCAGGTGAGCGTTGAGGGTTTGCTTCCAGTTGTCGTTTTTGCTTTTGCAAAACGTGCTTTCATCCGAAGAGAAGTCTCTTACTCAATTAGTCTTATTACTAATTTAAGTTAGCGCTTTGTTTCGGCTACCACTTGGATCATCTATCTATCACCTGTCACCGCACTTATTTAAAATTTGTTGAGGTGGAGGGGAGCCCAAATCATTTAAAACCAATCTGCGTAGAAAACTGAATATTGATGAAACCATTCGAGAAATGAGTGAAGCGGATATGTTGTTCATAAAATGCGAACGTCATGTGTACACGAGGTCTCCCTACAACCGTAAATAAAACATACAATCGATTCGGGCCAGAAAATACACGTTTCTCTACCCATTTTTTGGGTTGTTCCATCGGTGTTGGGTTTCCTCGCATGTCCACTACTATTTCACTTTGCGTGTGGGTATGTGCTTCGGTGTTAAAAATGAATGAGCGTTACAATAATGACGTGGAGAAATTTTAAATAAGTGATCGTTGATAGATAGGGATCGCAAATGATGGCCGAATCAAAAAGCTAACTCAAAATAGTAAGAAAAAACGGTTTAGGAGCTTATACTCGAATGAAAGCACCTTTTGCAAAAGCGAAAACGACAACGGGAAGCAACCATCATCGCCCACCTGAAGACGGAGAGCACTGCCACTACGCCACGGGGAGCCTTGTAGGCATTGCCGGCAACTGGGCTCATCAACTGGCACTATCTATCCAGGCTTTCAGCATGCAAACTTTGAACGCTCACAACTTTTTTGGTAGAGTCATTTCGCAGTTTTAATTTACATATTTCTTGAAAGCTTCCCAAGCCCTATCAATACACTTAGGTCTCTATTCAAAGTTCCTTGGCAAGTTGAAACCCTTCCCTGGTAAGTAATCTTCCCACATGCGCTTGACTCCGGTAGGCTTACACATGATGGCACCACAACTGTTCATTATAGCGCACAGAAACTCGACGTTTTGGGTAGTCCGACGGCGGTTTTTGAAGGCTGAAAGCCAAATTTTCTCCTCCTCAACCGTCGAACTTCCGGCACAAGACGTTCTGTTGGTTTCTTTCTCTACGCTACGACAGCTTGGCTAGTCTCTTAGAACTTTCATAGTCAGTCAGGTCACTGGTCGAGTGCGAGTGTTTGAACGCTTGTTTCTTCTGCTTTGAGACTTTCTGCACTTCATCTTTCCAGAACCACGCTATCTGTCTATTCTAAATACACTTCAGTCTCCCTCAGCGTTCTTCTTGCACACGTAGGATGAGCTCCACAGTGCTGCGTCGCCGATTGCATACCTACTTAGCACTGACTTCTGGCAATTTTTTTTCTGAGAAGTTTTTGATCAATAGAAAGTGAAATCATATACTATGCTTTCTGTTTACTGTCACCTCCGTTTTACAATTATCCCATATTGCTTCCACGCACCGCATTTCATTGGAAATTCTTGTTGGGCCAGAAAATTTGATTTGCCTCAAGTGGAAGTGAGACAGTGCCGAGAGGAGCGCTGTTTTGCATATGGTTCAGGGATCGAATTTTGTATCGACACCCGTCTAAGCTAGCTGAGTCTTTCGTCCCTCTTGCGATAGTCACCCTTCACTAAATTGTTCAGAAAGATCAAAACACTGGCTTGTACCCCAGATTGGTCTGCGTAAGCCACAGTTCACATACCATTCACTACGGTTCGGAATGGAAGTTGGATGCGCTAGTCAGACCAAATTGAATCGAACAGAGCGGAAAAAAATTTATCAATACATTTCTGCTACCACCAAGATCTCACTTATGCACTGCATATCAAATTCTTTCTCCGCGGAACAGGCGACTACTCACTGCGCATCAACCAATTTTTGAGTGAAAAAGCCCACTATTCGCAAAGAGCGTGGAAAGTCCACTACTCGAGGGAATAAAAAGAAGTAACATACCTCCTCCGCCGCTCAGACAACTGTCGGGACGACCCAAGTCTTCAAAATGTAGAGGAGGAGGACGCATGTATCCAGTTCTGAAAATTGAAGCGTCGCAATACTTTAAGCAGAAGTAAGAAAGAAATGGAATGTATCATTGTGCAAAAAGGTAAACATACAGCAAACATTCTCCTCTGAGAAATCTAAAGAATACGGTAATCACATGACACAGTGATATTATTATAAGTGTTTCTTGGGGCGGACACACGGTGATCTTTCTCAAGATGCGTTAGGACTACAGATGCCCAAGTCACAAACTAGGAGTTTCCTTCAACACTGAATAATGTCGGACACAAGATACTTGAATGAGAATGAGATGCGCCCAGATCGCCATTAAAGATACTTAGGAAGGCAGAATGTTACACTCTGCAGCAACAGCAAGCACCTCGATCAGCTCTGTAGGGTGAGAAAGTAGCGAAAAATACGAGCAGCTCTCGGTCAACGAATGGGCCTGGATGCCGAAGCCAACTGTTCTGTCTCATAATTTATGCCTCAGAGAGAGAAAGAAGGAAGGCTCTCCTAGCAATTCATACAAGCGAAGAAACTCTTTCTCTTTCATTTTTTGTTTTTTCTTGATCGCCGAGCTTAACGGCGCCTTCCATTTATTTTCGAATCACTCAGACTTGAAATGCTACGGTAGAGGTGCCTTTGGTGAGATACGAAGTCAAGCGTCGAAATCAAGAAACACTGAAAACGAGTGACACCTTCAAACCTTGATGGTTATCCTGAACTTTGGATGTTTCTCAGAAGTCTCAGATTGGTGCAATCTGGAAAGGGTAGTGATTTCAGTAGGAATCAGAGGCACCTAATAAAACAGTCCTATCTATGGAGCGAGAATGAGTCCTCCCGGCACAGTTCACGACAATTTTGAGGCACCCGTTTTCATTCGAAAAGCGGAATAGTTCATTGGTGGTGATGAGAGCGAGGGAATTCGCCGATTTCGAGAAAAATGTGGCTCCTTAGAAGAAGGGAAAGTAAAGGTTGGACGAGATTACCGTGACGGAAATAACATGGAAGGTGTATTTGAATGAGATTTCAATTGTTGCAATTGCGTTAAAAGCTAACTATGTCAAGCCAGGACTGTACAGAATGCCTTTCATTTCGCTCCAGGTCATGACAATTGTTTGGACTTCCTACATGGGTTATCTTTGAGTCTCTATAACTCCCTGACTAGGCTGTTATCTGACGTAATAGCGCCAGATATGATATACGAGGGGTCCTCGAATTCATCCCATGGGAGAATAACAGAAACCATTCTTCTCGTGAGCTGGCCCTTTAAATTGAAATGAAATGATCAATCGTTATCATCATCCATCTCCAGATCTTTGTTCTTCGTTGCAAAACACGAGAGAGTTGAAGAAGAAAGCAAAAGGATGGAAGGAAGGCGAGCAGGATACTAAGTTACAATGGTCATTCAAGGTGAGATTCACTGTTAATGCAGTGAGGATTCGGTATCGGTATCGGCTTGGAAAGTCATTAACAAATATGGAAATTAAAACTGCAGACTGAGTCTACCAAAAAAGTTGTGAGCGTTCGACGTTTGCATGCTTAGTGCATGGAGATATAATGAAAACTGATAAGCACAGTGCTTGCATCGGCCGCAAGGGTCACCGTGGCGTAGTGGCAGTGATCTGCCTCTCCAGGTGAGCGATGAGGGTTTGCTGCCCGTTGCCGTTCTCGCTTTTGCAAAACGTGCTTTCACCCGAATAAAGGCTCCTGATTCGTTTTTCTTACTAATTTTAGTCAGCGCTTTGTTTCGGCTATCATCTGCGATCACCTACCTATCATGTAGCACCGCACTTCACGGTGTCCACGTCATTTTTGCACATCACCGAAATACACATACCCACACCCAAAGTGAAATAGTCTTGGAAACGCGAGAAAACTCAACATCGATGGAACAATCCAAGTTGGGTAGAGAAAACGTGTATTTTTTGGTCTCGTATCGACTTGTTCTTTTATTTACGGGGTAGAGAGATAGCATGTACATATGAGGTTCGCATAATGCAAACAACATATCTTCTTCACTCATTTCTTGGATTATTTCACCAATATTCAGTTTTTAACGCATATTTCTCTTTGGTGATTCAGCTTTCCCCTCCACCTCAAGAAATTTTTAATGAGTGCGGTGATAGGCGATAGATAGGTGATCGCAAATAATAGCGTAAATAAAGCGCTTACTTAAATTGGTAAGAAAAAACGGTTTAGGAGATTTTATTTGGATGAAAGCACGTTTTGCAAAAGCGGAAACAAGAACGGGGAGCTAACCCTCATCGCTCACCTGCAGAGGGAGAGCACTGTCACTACGCTGAGCTGACCCTTGTGGCCTACGCGGGCAACTCACTATCTCTCCATGCTTCGAGCATGCAAACTTTGAACGCTCACAACTTTTTTGGTAGACTCATTTTGCAGTTTTAATTTCCATATTTGTTAATAACTTTCAAAGCACTATCGATATACCTGTTTCCCTATTCATGGTTTCATGAGGAGTTGAAACCCTTCCCTGATTAGAAGTTGCAGGGCAAACTACTCCAGCTACTGGCCCTACTTTTTCAGTTCGGAGGAACGATAAGCAAGCGCTGTTTCATCCTATCAATGCTACATGGGGAAATTTATTAGGTTGCCCAGAAAATTTCACCGTTTTCCACTGCACTGGTTCGATCAACTCTTTATAAAAGATTTTTGATGCAAGCTCAACAATTTGTATATATTCTGAAATGGTAAACTAAATCTCAGATTTCTGTTTATGTAGAGCTAGTGCGCATGTGGAGAGCCATTAAGGCTATTTATGACACCTGATGCTTTTCTTCTACCAGGAAGGAAAAGTGTAACTTATTGGAGGGAAAGGCATGCGAATTTTCTTAGACATTGCTCCATCAGCACGGAGTATGAGAGATTTGCAAAAATCGAAGTGGTAAAATCATGCTCAGAATTCGTAAACGGTCAGAGCGACCATCGCCAGCTAAGAACGACCAAATCAGTATGTTAAGCGAAGCCGCGAGTAAACAACGCGCGCAGTAACGGAAAAGATCAGTGCCAAATTTGGCTATTTACACTATTCGATGGAACTCCGTCACTTCTAAATATGTCTTTTCTGAAAAGCGTGGTAAAGTAAGATAGGAGGGGGATTGTTCACGACAATGTAGACCAAAAACGACTGTGAATGATCCCAGTGAGCTGCCACTGACGACTTCGTAAACCAAAGTACATACGCTGAAGAATTTGCTCTGTTGGTGGTGGAGTTGGAAGGAAATAGCCAATTTTGAATAACATCGCAATCCAACGTTCTCTCCTGAACGATGCCGCAATCAGCTGAACAATTTAAAGGCAGCCATACAACTGTTGCCTAGAAGTAGTAAATCGTGAAGGTGTGGTTTTCCTCCATGAAAACGCAGGACCACACGTAGCCTAGACGACTCGTCAAAAATTACTGGATTTTGGATGAGACTTTCTACCACATTCCCATGGAACTATCATTTATTCAAATCTCCCCGGAATTCAGTGCATGTGAAACTGCTTGATTCTCTAGATGACTGCAAAATGCACCCAGAACAGTTTTTGATTTCAAGTCTGGAACCTCCAACGAAAATAGGACAGTGAAACTTCTAGAATGAAAACGAGCCATTAATGAGCAAATGGAGGGTATATTGTCTAGTAAACGTTTGTTCACTGTGAAAGTTCACTCATAGTCGACCTCAAAAAACCGGTGGGAACTTTCTGAACAAAACTATATTCAATGAGATCGTAGATATCAATAAAACTGATCCACTCTAGCTCTCCTGTGGAGAGCGCGACAAACGATTGCAACACATTTTGAGATAGAACCAAGCTTTTCGGGATGAAGAAGATAGGTCCAGCATAGAGAAAATAAAAGTAGTTATTATTTTTCCCAAATTCATTCCAACATTTTCATGCGTTTTGTATGAAGACCCCCCCAGGCGTTGGGTAAGCTCGGAACTAATCTTTCTCGAAGCTATTTCCATCGCTCATGGTGAGTGGGAGACAGGAACCCAACTGCATGACAGCAACGTGCTCCAAGTTCCGGGAAGTTCAGGAAAGAAACACCTTTCCAACTTTGTTAGCAGAACTGCTTCGGAAACAACTCATCTTGAAAAGCCGTGGCAATCTGGTGTCCCTAGTGTCACATATAAACAAGGAGAAGCTGTAGAAACAAGTGAAAGGATGGGTACTTCACTGTCAGTGAATTACCCATCCTTTCACTTGTTTTGATAGCTGCTCCTTGTATATAAGTGCAAGCGACGATCGAAGAAGGTAGTCGGGACACCGACGTGGCGGAAGGAGATTGAATCTGATCAAATTTTCTTTTTGATAAAGTTTTAGAAAGGCCTCGTGGCCTCTATTAATTACAGAGTGTGTTCCATTAAATAGTGGTGAAAACAAACTGCCAAAATTACAAATCTTCTCAGGGGACTGTATGCAACCCCCTGCCAGCCAAATGAAAAGGAATCTTCATATCCAGTTTCTGGTTCATGGGACGTTCACGAAACATACGAATGGCCGATACTCGAAAATGAGTAAAAATCTCACTTGGTTCTGATACGACAACCACTAGAACACGGCATTTCAATAGCCATCAGCCGCCTGGAACTTTTGTTCCTTCATTGAAGGTCCTTTTCGAATCTCTTTTTCGCATAATGCTGCTCTGCAGATGCTCTGATATGATCTCGCCGTGAGTTTTTAAAGTGCACAAAGCAACAACAGACATACGAGCAGGGACTACACGTCGGAAAAGAAAGGAAAGGAAAAAGTAAAGCGGCACAACTATACTACACCGCTTGTAGAATGGATCCGCTATACACGCTCAGACTGACATTCTAACAAAATTCTTCATAGTGAAGCAAAATTGTGAAAGCGGAATAAGTGCCGAAAAAAAGCCTGGCTTGAGTTCGAAGTATAGGACAACATGTATAGTTTCAATTCACAGAAAACTGCAGAAATAGGAGACACTGATCTGCTTTGAGACGATCTCCATCCAGATCAACACAAGCCAAAAAATGGTCGAGAAAC